AGATTATAGTCTGTTACAACTAATCACATCTTTGAATATATACTACTCATTTATTTAGGTGAATACAGAACCAAAAACCAAGGACTAAATTAAAGTGTTTGCCAACCAAACCAGCACCTCTCAGAATAAGAGCATATGACGAAAAATACATGCATCCTGAGTCTGGCTAACTTCTGAAGAGAGGCATGCAAGGATATTTTTTTTTTTTTTTTTTTAAATAATCCTTGAAGTGTAAATGAAATTAATTCATTTCTACAAGCAGTAAGACTTAAGGAAGTAAACATGGAGTTTTCTCTTTTAGGTTTGGGTGACTTTATGCATGATGTTGGCAGTTCACTATTTCTCAGAAGATGGGTGTCAGGGTGATTAGAATTCTAAAGTAAAGTTGAAAAACAGTGATTTAAATTGCTGTTTTTTAGCCTTTGGGAGGATGTTTTAACTGTAAAACTTGTTTAGGCTAGATTAAAGGTAATTGTGGGTGCGCGTGTGTGTACATGCATAAATAATAACATTTATATCCTTTCTTTGTAAGTATAGAAAGGTACGGAGAGTTCATGAAGCTCAAAAAAGCGAAGAAGTATCCTGATCAGGGCCTTTCAGGGAATTCTGCAGCAGCATCAGGTTCCCAGTCCCAGTCAGGCCGAAACAAGTTCGGAACCCAGCGTCTCAAACCAGGTTAACCTTGTGCACCTGCAAAAGGGAAAATGTGGACACTGTCACTAAAGCAGGGCCACTTTTTAAATCAGTTGCGTATTTAGGTATCTAAAGTTCACCTGTGTTCTGCTTTACCGTGTCGAAGCCCTGCTTGACCTATTGTGTTTGACTTGCAGTGAAAACAAGTTAGGAGAGCTCTTCTGGTCTGCAGCTGAAGATGCGTCCTTCAGGGATATTGTGGTGCTCGGAAACTGCAATCTCGGTGACGGATGGACAGAAAAGGACTCCGGCATAACGCTCCAACTGCAGTCAGGTCGTGAGTCATACATATGTAGTCAAGAGGGGTACCGATCTTTATTACCTGGAGCAGGACTTTGTAAATAATTATTTAAAGTCTGAAATATGATGACGAATATTGTTCTGCCTCCAGAAGGTGTGAGAGTGGCAAACTATCTCTCTGTGCTCTGAAAATGATCATAAATAGTCTGTCATCTTGTGCACTCCCATTTTGTTTGTTCAACTCTTGTGTCAAAGTGTGGGGGAAAAATAGCTAATGTGCCGAAATTCAGAAGATGGAGGCACAAATGCTAAGCTCTGCAGCTGAAAATGAAGGGAACTGGTAAACCAAGGAGCACTGCCTAGTTTTTTGGACTCTTACTAACATGTTTTTTTATAGAGGGTAGAAATGCCCCTTTCAAAACCACCACTCCTCTACTTTTTAGAGAGATCTGTCCCCAACATTTACTAAATTAAATGACACTTTAATCCCTTGTCTCCCTTTGCTTACACCTGGAGGACAATCCATGTAGTAAGGTTCCACAAGCAGATGTACTTGATGTGGAAGCTGAACTTATTTTGCGAATAGGGTATAGTACTCATAATGCTAGCTGTGCTTATGTCTTCAGTATCACACTCTTCTGTACCCACAAGTATCTTTACATATGTTGTTTTTAAAAATACACGGCATTGCTAGTTTGCTACAAATTTTTAGTAGGCAACTTCATGCATTTTTACTCTCATTGAAAGAAAATGTGTTCTATTTATTATTCTAACTTACTTTGTACAAGGTAAATTGCAGGCAAAGATCTATATGCAGTGAATCAAGTAAGTATTGATTCTGTCGGCAATGTTGGTAACAATAGAAACCTATGGTCATACTAGAGATGTCATTTTGTAAAAAGCATCCTTTTTAGTTTGCATTAGATGATTAATCGCTTTTACGTGCATCTCCTTCAAATAAAAATGGCTTGCCAGGCTCCTAGAGAAAGAATCTTAAATTCTTTTATGAATGTGACAGTTGCATCTATTTGGTCTTGCTACTTGTACATCAAATTGTGTAGAAACTTGTGGGCAGAGTACTAGTCTGGACTCCAAACCTAAACGTGTGGCCTTGAGTGTGTGCGAAATGACGCATTATTTACCAGTGAACCGCTGATTCTAATGGCAGCTACTCACAAGACGTGTCTGCGTATTTGCAGCACGGCTACATATTTGTATGACTGGAGTCTGAATGAATCCAATATTCAAAGGATAATGCAAATCTGTTGGAACTATTGGGATTGTTATTAGGCCTCATTAAAAAAAATTTAACAGAACAGATAGTTTCCTTTGCTGACGTTCAGTTTGGACCATGGCCTCCCTTATAAAATAGAAACCATCACATTTGTTTTCAACATATTACGGCAAAAAAAAACAAACCAAAACAAAAAAACCCCAAACAACAACAACAAAACATTAAAGTCTAAGTAATGATTTTTGTTTTCCAATGTTTTGCCTATTTTGTGGTAACTACAGGAAGTTTTAGCTATTTTTCTAGCATGCTGCTGCTCTTGCCTCCAGCTTGTGAAGACTGTGACCCCATAAACCTCCTGTCTATAGAGATAGCTAATGCTTTAATTGATCATTAGTAGACTTTCAAAATTAGTTTCCATCTGCCAAAAGATTAAGTGTCTTAGGGAATTGACTTAGAGCAGTTTGATGCATGGAGGATAAATGCAAGTGCCGTTAAAAAGCACTGCTAGACCACAAATCCTTGAAAAACTTGCTTCTAAAATACTTAGAAGGAAAAGTAATAGAAAAGATTTTTGCTCTGATTTGTTTTTTGTCAAATTAGAGAAGGCTTTTTTTATATATCAATGAGAATACATTAGCGCATTTTCAAAAAAACAAAGAGCAAAACCTCATGAAAATGTTGAATTTAACCTTAGAACAAACCATGCAAATTTTGGCAGCTTTAATTTGCAACGTAAATTTTTTGTTAAATGAATTTTTTCCAACTTTAAACACATGCTTTGGGCAAAAAAAGAAAAAGATGAAAACTTTTCTACTAGCTGTACTTGAGAATACTGAGGAAAAACATCTCCATGTTTTATCACAATTTTTCACAATTACAGGTGTTGCTTCTCTTGTTTAAAGTTTTCTTTAAACTTTTGCCTTTTAGCTTATTTGGAGTGATTTTTACAGGTTTTCATGTTGCTTTCTCTCTGACATTTTTGTACAAGCCACTTTTGGGAAAACTTCTACCATTGCGATAACAGCTTACAGTTGTTACTACAGAAATAATGGCTTCTTTCTTAGGTATCTGAAAAATCAGTGCTATTTAACTCAGTTAAGAACAGTTCTAGCTGGTAAGAATACCCTTCTGGCTGCATTAGAGCTGTCAACATTGTTGTAGCAGAAAATACAGGAACTGCAGCTGTCCTACAGCAGTGCCGAAAGATGGACGGGATTTGTGTTGCATGGGTTAGCCATCACACTTAGCTGTGGTTATAGGTTCCTCATTAGTGTTTGTCTTGTGACCCCCAAAGTGGGCAACTGCAGTGATTCTTAGACTCTTCCTGGTGGTCCTTTAAAGTACACGCTTTTAGGACTGCTTACAGTTGGAGTAGCTGGGACAGCAGGGTGGGTGGCATGGAAATGATGGTAAAAAGATGTAGATGGCTGTTCCAAATTGATGTTTTTTTCCAAATGTCTGTCTATTCCTCCTCTCTTATTCGCCACACAGGTTAGGGGAAAACGGGTCTAAACGCAGAGTTTTATGTATAATCACTAGTGGCTGTCGACACAACACCTAATTGATGGAGGCCGTAATTATAGTGAGCGGAAAGCAAAGGATACTACTTTTGCAAATAGCACTGGGAAGATTAATCTTACCCACATATGAAAGGTTGCATTCTGTTTGCCTTGTCAGGTGAAGTGGAAAATACTGGTATCATCAGTGGTATATTGATTTATAACAGGATGCTGGACCTGGTTTAATATAGGCTGACTCTAAAAAGCAAGATTTTTTTTTTTAACTATTTGCCACATGTTGATGGGAAAGCATCCATTTAGAGAAATGAATATGGCTAATGTTATTCTATCAAATACTGCAATGTTTGAAGAAATAATAAAAAAAAAGAGGAAAAATAAGATCTTGACTTCCAATTTAATAATAATGGAATATGAAGGCCAGATTGTAACTGTAGAAGTTCATTTCAAATTTAAATATTTAGCATTTTCACTAGTCTGCGACTACAAGAAAATTTATTACATTAAGATGGAATTTAGATCTTTGACATGAAGCTGATATTTTCATAGCGTGAAAAATATCAAGCTGACATTATACTGTCTCATTTGATGACTTCCAAATGTCAGAGTGCAGTAACTTATTCATAGGGACCTCAATGTCTTGTGATAGTGTCAATTTAAAAGACATTTACATCGACTTTTTTATTTAAACATGTAAAATGGAATATGCAAAGTGGATGAGGAAAAGGGGGAAAGACCAGGGGCAAGAAAGTTCTTAGTAATAGAATGAGGCACTTTTAAGGCTAATTTCCACTGAAGCCTTCTGACAGCTGCATGGACTACTGCCTGCCAGTACTTCTGACAGCTGCCGTCTTCCTTCCCTTCACGTTATTTCCCTCATTCCCAGCTCAGCACTCTCATGTTTCTTGTTACTTCAACAGAACTTAGGGCATTAAAAGTAGCATGATATACTTTCCTGAAAAAGGAAACCACCCATCCCTTGCTTTTCAAAGTGATTTTGTAATAATGGAAGATATTGAGTGTTTCTTTGGAGGTGAGTTAAGGACACCATTGGCTGTAGAAGCCCGCGGTGCGAGTTGTACACCTCGGAACGGGCAGAGCGGGCTGCGCCGGCCGCCGCCGCCGCGCAGGGCGGCCATTTTGTTCGTCGCCGAGAGAGACAGGGTGCCGGCACCCCCCCTGGTGCTGCCCCCTGTCGGCCGCCTGCC